CAGTTACTATTGCCGGCACCCCGTTACTGCACATTACTATGGTCGCACAATTAACCTTTTTTTCATGATAGGACTCGTGCACGCCTTGTCATTAAAGGATGGAAATACCGGTGTTACATCGAGCTGCGTTTCCGCATCAGATACCGTATCACCTGGATCTCCCCATGGCGCAGGCGGCACGATTAACCTCGCAAGCGACAGGAAATGCGTATGCTCGCTAAAGGCACGTAACAGCCACCCTGTGCTCGCGCCACAGGGGAACTACGGAGAGTGTGAACGATGAAATGTTAGCCTATATAGATAGATAGATGGATGGATTAATGGATGAATGTTACAGTATCTATAACAACCCAAACACACAGGATTTCAGGTTTAGACATCCCCAGTTATTAATTTCATTCACTCACCAGATCTGAACACCCTGTTAAACTTCACACCCTTGACTAGAGGTAATGCAGCCTGATGATATTTACACCATATCAGATACTGTTCCCCCATGTTAAGCAGGGGGAACGCTATCTAAGGGGGTTTAGCAGCCCTCTCACATAGCGTTCCCCCATGTTCTGCAGGGGGAATGCTATCTGAAGGGGATTAGAAGCCCCCTCAGATAGCTTTCCCATGTTAAGCAGGAGGAACGGTATCTGACGGGCCTATAAACCCTGTCAGATACCGTTCCTCCTGCTTAACATGGGGGAACACAATCTGAGGGGGCTACTAAACCCGTCAGATAGCTTTCCCCCATGTTAAGCAGGGGGAACGGTATCTGATGGGGTTTATAGGCCCGTCAGATACCGTTCCCCCCTGATGTCATTTACGTTGAGTTGCAATAAATGCTAAACTCTCTGCAGGTTCTTGTCAGCTGGCTTTGGAAACACACGGCGAGAAGGTGGGGGCCGAGTGGGGAGGGTTACGGGGGTAAGAAACGCAAAAGTAACGCAATAGTTATTTTTACTAGTAACAAGTTACTTTTATGGTGAAGTAACCCAGATAGTAACTCAGTTACTTTTTGGGAGAAGTAAATAGTAACTATAACTAATTACTTTTTCAAAGTAACGTGCCCAACACTGTTTACTGCACAGCACACACAGACAGTAACTGTCATAAGGCATGATTTTTCTAGCCTCGTGAGACCATCCTGATCTCGCGAGCTTTCAAGGTTTCACCCGCAGATCAGTCTGGAGACTCTCCGTTAAAGAAAATTTGGAGCCGTTCACCAAACGAACGTCCAATCAGCGTTGGCTTTGAGGCGGGTTGAGGTG